TTTGAGTCATGATAAATTATTCTGTTCATACAAGTCGAAATTTAAAGGAGAACTTTGATCGGTTTGCTTTCGGGTTAGGTTAGTCGGGTCAATTTTTGACACTTCCACTCATTGCCCAATATGTTTATTATGTAGTCGAATGTGTTTATCCCTCACTTAAAGTGTTAATCAACCAATCTAAATCTTAAGAATTTTCAACTTGATATGTGTTGGAGTTATAGTTAAGTTTTATGAAAAGAGAAAATTATATTAATTTTGAAATGCATGACAAAATCACGCGTAGAACACTAGATTAGTGTAATGAATGTTATATTTTATATATTTAATTATTCGAATTCCAACTACTTACATGTACCAATTGACTGTTGATGTAGTGGTGATTGGGGTTGCACATGGTATGGAGGACTGCGTGTTCGATATTCTACAACAACAATTGGGAGGAGACTGTAACCTAACCTTCTAGAATTGAGCCCTGAATCCGAATTAGCCCAAACTCCAAAGGGTGAACCTATATATATATATATATATATATATATATATATATATATATATAGGGAATTGCTAGAATGAGAAATGAGAAAATGAGAAAACCAATAATCCCTCGACATATCATCTTGGTTTAAAATTCAAATAATATATATACTAGTTTTGTGTCCGGACAATGCCTAGATGGTTGGTAAAATTTTAAAATACGGTCAAATTATTCATTCTGATCCCGTAAAAAAAAATAATAATGAATAATTCGTTCTGATAATGTACGATATCTAGACATACAATATCATATGGCTTATATTAGTATAATAATACTTTTTACATTTTTGTTGTAGATATACGTTATTATTTAAATTATTTTTATTGAACTTAAATTATTTTTACTGAAATAAAAGTATTTTTACCAAACTAAAATTAATTTTACTGATTAAAATTTATTTTTACTGATTTTCTAATATTTTTTTAAATAAATTAAATAACAATGCATTTTGTATGCGGCTAGCCACACCATTTGGTCGGACAAAGTAACCCCTACAAAACTGACTGAGTAACCCCTGTGATACTATCTTATCTTAAAAAATCTATCCAAAAATCGCTTAGTTAGCATCATATGTGTCACAACAATACATATTTATTTCCTACTTGGCGCAACACTTGGCGAAAAACTGGAATGTCAAATGTCGCTGTCTCGTGACCTGGCTGTGAAACCGGCTTTATTTATTAGTAATATGATATGATATATATGGTAAATAGTACATGGCGGCCTGACTGAATTGATTAATACATACAACTGAAGACCCAAATAGTACATGGTCCCAGATTACTACAACTAATTAACACCAATTCAGTTCATGCATTCTTGTCTTGTTTGTATGTTCATAATTCTAATCTTTAAACACAATTTTTCCAACAGTTTGTAATATTTTTATTCAAGCTAGAGCCAATATTCAAGTTTTTTCAACCTAAGATTTTCAAATTAGTTAAATTTAGATTATTTGAACATGATCAACAATATTGTTATAAAATCAAGGTACATATGCTTTTTTTTATACTATTTCATTCATTCATTGTTAAGGGGTTGTTTCAAAACGGCCCCTTAACCCATGTGATACAGAGCTTGTGTAAGAAGAAGCTAGTTTGCAATTGATATAAAACTTTCATAAGAGATATATATAAATGTAGCAATAGATAACATATACGTAGTATATCTTTGTGTTCTTTATACATTACGATGTATTTTTATGATTACAAAAAATTGACTTTGATTATATTTACATATTCTACTTTAACAATATATAATGACTTATTTACAACATCTAACGAAAAACAAAGTTACGTGAGATCTTGTTTAATTCGTCTTTATGTACTTTTTAAAATATCAACTTTTAAAATGTTGTTAGTGATAAGAAACTATATATGCATTACAAATATAATTGAGGAAATTTGAAGTGACTCAACAATGAAACAAAGAAAATAAAGAACTAAGGTAGTACAGTAGTACTCCATAAACGTTTAAAAGAATTTGAAGTGACAAGGAAACAAAGAAAAGAAAAGGTTTATGTTCTTCGGTTCAACACAAGACAAGACCTCTTGAAGATATAAGGCCACAAGAAGTGGAAGTCTCAACTCATTTGGACCAAAGTTAAGGCCTACCACGGTGCCGCCCCACAATTACAAGTCTCCAAAAAATATTCCATTATATTTCAAAAAAAAGAAAAAGAAAAAAAAAATTATTCTCTTATTTTTTACTTTAATTTTTAATGATAATTGCAAGTTTTATAATAATAATAAGGGTAATGCTATATGTAACCCTTAGAGGTATGAATAACCATTTAACAACCTTTCCTTATTTGGTATTAATTTAGGAATGCATGACAAAATCACACGCACATCAATGTAATTAATGTCACATTTTCATTAATTTTTGAAAAAAATTGAAATTAATAATCTTCTCTTTTACCTATCTTCTCATATTAGTCCCACTTTTAAATAACTTATAATAATCTCAACTTTTAAACCCATATTCTTTTAATGGTCTTTCACCTGTTTTCACTTGCAGTAGCAGGTTTCCTAACCTACTTGGCAGTCACCTATCCATGTGGCATTGATGGTTGGTTATTTTATTAATGACCTTTATTTTTTTTCTCAATTTTATTCTCCTCCCTTTCCCTGCATCTTCTCTGTTCTTTGTTACGAATTTCCCACAAGCTTTTATCTTCTCATTCTAAATTCTCATCTTAAAGGTCTTATCCATGTACACTAATTCACCATTCTTATCCTTCTTAAAATTCCCACCATGCCAAAATTTAAGAGTGACTTCAACAATTGAAGCCATTGAAGAGGGGTCAGTCACTAATCACTACGAACACCAAATTAAAAACGTCACAATTCCCTAATTATCAACAAGTTCCTAATATACTCTAATCAATACACAACCAAAGAATTCACAACAGATCAATTCGAAATTGACAAAAACCAATCACAATTATAAGGGTTTATATATGTTTTCTGTAATAAGAATTTTCTTTACTGCTGCTGCTGTAGAATTCATACACCAAGTCCACGAATTTCCCCCTTTTTACGCAAGATTTCAGTTCACTGCCTTCACATGAGCACCGAGGAGAACGAAAAAAATTTTAAAGAAAAAAAAAAAAATTAACAGAGGAAGAGCAGTAATATGGCGCTAACAGAGGAGTAGTAGTTGGTGAAGATTAAAGAATTCTTAAATTAGGAGGGAAATTAAGTCAATAGGGAATTAAGGACTTGATTACCCGGTAACTGGTCACAAGGACCGTTAAAAGAATACGGGTATAAAAGTTGGGATAATTATAAGTTAATTAAAAAGTGGAACTATTTTAAGAAGAAGAGTAAAAAAAGGTAGGATTATTAATTTCAGCTTTTCCTTAGTTTTTTCCATTTTTAGCTCCTTACATATAACCCTTAGCACTCTGTATAACATTTTCTTAATAATAATAATAATAATAATAATAATAACAATAATAACACACTCTAAAATAAAGATGATCGTAGAAATTAAAATGTAAATTATCAAGGGACTTTTGGCTGGATATATTTGAGATCGACAGGGTATTGCTGCTCTATTTGAGCTCTCCGTCCCCATAATATAGTGCTTATTTCCATATGCACAATTTTTAAAAACAACTTTTAATCATCAATATCTTTAAATTCGCAATAATAAAACTTATAAAAAGTTATTGATATTATTGAACTACATATTAAGACGAATCTATTAACCATAAGAATTGAAATGAGCACTATAATACTATAATATAAGATAAAGGGAATAATAATAATAGAATAAAAAGAACAAGATATGATACATGCAAGTTGGGACAGGCTCTTTTATCTTTTGATCATCAGCTCAACCTAAATGTAAATCTAATACGAAATGTTACATTTATTTTTTATTATTATTATTATTAAAATAGTAAATGTGATTGAAATTTCTTGATTTTTTTTACTGGATGTAAGAGGGTGTGAGACCTCAATTATTTCAGTAGTGATTACAACAATTTCCCAATATTAAGAGTTAAAACAATTTTTGAATTAGATGATAAAAAGTGTGTAAATTAATCTTGAATTAATTAAGTGAATATTCAGTAAAAAAAAATCAGTTTTGAATGACGGTAATAAATTTCATTCCTTAAATTTTTTTTTTCTTTTTCTTTTTTTTAGGGCCTAAACAAAAACTAGTACAAATTATTAAAGGACGTAAAACTACTATTAGCCATAGTGGCCAGGTCATGCGCTGCTTGGACGGTCTCTCGCTGCACTTTGAGAATACTAAACCAGTCAAAACCTTTTCCCAAATGACGAATGTGATCCACTGTTCATTTCAGGCTAATATATATTTGTAACCTTAGTATTAATCAACATATGCACTGTCGACGCTAAATCTGTGTAAGTAGTTACATTTTGTAAACGGCTATTTCACCAAATGCCACTGACAAATTACGAAATTCATCAAATGCCATCGAACTTTTCAGAATTCACCAAATGCCATTGACAACTAGTATATTAACACAACGTGCCATTAATGATGCCAGGACGTTAGTTGGCCGTTAATGAAATTCTTAATTCATGAAATGCCATTGAGAAGTTTATATATTTCACCAAATGCCATTACTTTTATATGCAATTGTGGTAGAAAATATGCAATTAGAAGCTCAGAATCAACATCAAATCTCCAAAGGCTTTATTATAAGTGTGATGCATGTGATAGCTTCAAATGGTGCAAGGTTGTGATGCATGAAGAAGGTCAAAGCATGGGAAGTCAGAGCAGGGGAAGCTGTTATGCAAGGGATGGGTCAGGCCAAAGCAATGTACATGAAGAATTGAAACTGTTGAAGAAGAAAATCAAGCAACAGCAGAAAGTCGTGGATTGTATAATTAAATTAGGGGTACTGATTTGTGTAGTAGTGATGTTTGTAATATTGAAGTAAACTATTGTGTAATTGGATTGAAATTTAATAAAAACTGAAGTTATATTTTGTGCCCAAAAAATTGGTTCCTGTTCAAATCATGTACCCAAAAGATGCTTCCTGTTTAATTACAAGTTTATAGTCAAAAGATACTACACAAAATAGCACACACAACACTGTCAATCTTCAAAAATTACATGGAGAAACTGGGTGTGCACTAAAAACAGGAGAAACTTTGCATCCATGCTGCTTTCTTTTTTCTGTTGTTGGCTTGAGAGGTGGTGGCTGATGTGCTTGCTTCAGTTGCAGCCCTTTTCTTCCTTGATGAACAAGTGACCTTGTTGTGTCCCAACTCACTGCATAAGCTGCACTTTACTGTTGCATGCCTCTTCCCTCTCCTAGATTCATTTGGCCCTCTTTGTCTTTGCTTCTTTGGTCTCCCTGCAGCTCTTTTCACCAAAGGGGGCAATATGTCAGGTAGGTTCCCTGATGGCCATTGTGATGGGTCAGGCATAGGGTGCAAATGCTCTGCATAAGTGAGCTTGTATGCCTTCCCTTTGAAACAGGGGGCTACAAAGTCTGCTGGTTGCAGCCTCTGGTGGTATATGACCCTCAGCACATGTTTGCATGGAAGTCCAGAATGCTGCCATTTCCCACAACCACATATGCCAGTGCTCAGCTTGATGGGAAAATGGACATGTTGGTCTCTGACCTCAAATTCATCCCTACCGCAGGGAATAGCATAGCATAACCTTGACTCATCTGATCTTGTTTGTAGAATCTTGTCTGCATACTCAGTCAGGTCCATATCCCCCATGGTTAGTGATTTGTCAAACCTTGAGCCAATCCTCTTCATCACCCATTGCCTTATAGCTTCAAAACAGTATGCAAAAAAAAAAAAGGTGTTAACAACATGGATTACAGTATATTTTTGTGTGTTCAGCTTCAAAACAGTATGCAAACATAGTAGTGTTATGGTTCAAAACAGTATGCAAAAATAGTCGTACCTTCAAGTATTTTCAGAACTGGTAAATCTCTGTATGGCTTGGTGCATGAGTTGAAAGACTCCACAAAATTTGTTGTGTTATGGTCACAACAGAGGGCAGGATCAAACTTATGCCTTGACCAGACCTCAGTGCAACTCTCTAAGTACTCAACAGCCTTAGGGTTGTATTCTTTTATCTTTTGCATTGCCTTGTTGAACACATACTCGTTGTATGCATCAGCTGCTATCCAGAACAGCTTGTGAAATGTTGAACCACTAAATCCTTTAGCCTTGCAGTTCATGTATAGGTGCTGGCAACACACTCTTCTTGTTGCTCTAGGGAATGTCTCATTAATTGCTGTGTCAACCCCCTGCATACAAAACAGTGTAATGAGTAATTGTTAAACATGAGAAACTAAACTAAGAGTGACATGTAAGAACAAGAATATGAGGGTGGATTACCTTCATTCTGTCAGAGATGAAGGTCCAATCATCTCTCCTACAACCTTCTTTCTCAAACAAGCACCTCAAATTCCTAAGAAAATAGCCCCAACTGTCAATACTCTCAGAACCCACCACTCCATATGCAATGAGAAAAATCTCATTATTCCCATCAATCCCAACAGCAGTTAGCAGAATGCCCTTGAAATGTCCACTCAGGTGGGCTCCATCAATGCCAATGAATGGCCTGCATCCTCTCAAGAATCCCCTTAGTTGGGAAGCAAAAGAAAAGAAACAACCCTTGAACCTTGGGGGCTCAGTTGCAGTGGCCTCACCCCATGTGACCAGGGCATAACTACCTGGGTTGGTCTCCTTCACCATTTCAGCATACCTAGGCAACACTGAGTAGGCCTCCCCATAACCACCATGGATAATCTCCTTGGACATTGCCCTCACCTTGTACAACAGCCTTTTCTTCACTTGTAGCCTAAACCTTTCCATACAAAGTTTCTGTAATGCATCAACTGGTATGTCAGGATTGGCATGAATGTCTGACTGAAGATGCCTACACAGCCACTGAGAACTCACAATTGGATTTATTTCCAATCTCCCACAACTACTATGCTCTCCTGTTAGAGACTTGATTGCCCAGCTGATCTTGTCTTTCATAGTGGAGGCATGAATCCTCCAGTTGCATGTGTCAATAGCACACCTTGCTATCAATCTTGTTGGGTCACTCTTTTCTACATAAACCCCAAACCCTTCTTGGACACAGTAGTCCTTAAACACATCTAGAAATGACTGCCTGTCTGCAAATATGAGCCATGGCTCTAAAGTGATGGATCCAAACTCCTGATTGGTCCAAATTTTGCCATTTTTATATGTTTTATCCATTGCTGAACTGCCATCCAAAAAATCCTGAAACTGCTTCTCTGGAACATCATCATGAAGGTCATCTGTGTCTCTTTCATCCTCTATGAAATCACAGAGATCTGCCTCATCATCATCTTCCTCACTGCTAGAAAGTATATAATCATCATCCTCATTGTCACTTCCAAACTCATCAGAGTTTTCTTCACTGACAGGAACATTTGTAGCCATGTTCCTTGCTGATCTCCTCAGACTGACACCAACCCCCTTACCTTTGCTAGAAGCAGTCTTTTTTGACCTAAATCCCTCAGGTCTTGATCTCCCCTTTTTTGCTGGAGCAGATGGTGGAGGTGGAGGTGGGACTTCTGTTTCTTCACTGACAGGTACATGGGAAGGATCAGGGGAGGGTTGTGGTCCAGGGACTGGTGGGGAGGGTTGTGATTCAGGGACTGGTGGGGAGGGTTGTGATTCAGGGACTGGTGGGGAGGGTTGTGGTTCAGGGACAGGTGGGGAGGGTTGTGGTTCAGGGACTGGTGTGGAGGGTTGTGGTTGAGGAGGGGGTTGGGATCTTTTTTTGGGAGTGGTTTTCTTTTTCCTAGGAGTGCTTTTTTTCCTAGCTGATGGCTTCTTGGGCTGGTTAAAAGGAGAGGCTGGTTGAGAGTTTTTTGTTGGAGTTGGTGGTTGTGTACTTTGTTCAGGTTGAGGCTGTGATGCCCCAGGAAATACCACATCAGCTTCTGGGGTGGCAAAAACTCTAACATATTCAACATCATTTATCTCCTCTGCATTTACAACAGGAACCTCAACTGCAACTTGATACTGTTGATGTTCCATAAGCTCCCTCTCAGCTTCCTGCTCTTCAACCACCCTCTTGGCCTTTTCCAGTTCTATTCTTTCCTTCTCAGCCTTTGCCTTAAGCCTTTTTTCCCAACTAGCTACAACATCCTTAAACACCACACTAGGTCCACTCTTCTCCTCTAAGAACACTTGTATTGTTTCCCTACCTTCATACCAATCCCACATTTGCAGCATTTGAGTATCCCCAGTTAACTCTAACTTCCTATTAGTCATGGGAGGCATTACATACAAACTAAAGTATTTGGGAAGGATCACATTTTGCCTTTCTGAATCCTCAAACATGTACTCAAACAAGTCCATTAGACTTGTTCTGTCAGTATCCTCAATCCTCACATCAAACCCCTGGTCTTTGTAATGAACATCAAGCCACACTGAACTCATCCTAAGAACAACAAATTACTTATTACTACAATGCACTTCAACACACATCATTCATATCAACAAACACATATGCACTCAAATATACTGATCAACTCGCAAATTTAACTCTCAAGCACACAATTACTACGATAAACACAAACCGGGTTACCCCAAAACACACATTGACAGATTCATACCCACAATTCCAGTTTTTAACATGCATTTTTTCAATATTTCACAAAGGCCAATTCAAATACACAGATTGCACTGATCATCTTGCAAAACCCTAACCCTAACACAATTTTCGTAAAAAAATCAGAATCGAAAAGCGAAATAGAGTATCGATGGATAGATTATTACCTTGCGTGCTATCTCCAACCCCTCAAACTGAATTTTGCACTTCAAACTTCCTTCAAGTTCTGGCACTACTTCCTCGCACTTCTGGGTTCGCCCAGAATGAAGAACACCAAAAGGTTCGAACTTGTTGCAGAGTTCCGTCGTTCAATGCTCCAACTTTGCTTCTTCGTTGCCAGAGATTTCAAGGTTTCAGTTTTGGTGAACTTTCGAAGAACAGGGGAGAAGTTATGGAAGAACAAGGTCCAACAACAATTGAATAATTGAAAAAAGAGAAGTCAGACAGTCAACTTCTTAATGGCGGCATTAAACACAAAGAAAGGGTAAAATAGTATTTTCGCAATAACGGCCAACTAACGTCCTGGCATCATTAATGGCACGTTGTGTTAATATACTAGTTGTCAATGGCATTTGGTGAATTCTGAAAAGTTCGATGGCATTTGATGAATTTCGTAATTTGTCAGTGGCATTTGGTGAAATAGCCGTTTTGTAAACACCTGTTGGTAGCCCATCGAAGCCCTTCAAGACAGGCATTCATCTCCACGTGTAGCGCTAAAAGTGCCAAGCCATAGTAAGCTCCTCCCAAAAAAAACCATGAGGCCCTGATCCCCCAATCTCCGGACACCATCCCATTCCTGACCTATAAGTATGGTTGTTCCAAGATCCATCAACCAAGATTACTCCATCATGCAAAATTGCACGCATAACCCAAGGCGGATAAACAGACATAATCTCTGGTGGGTGAAGACACCTTAAATTATCCTCCAACTGTTTAGTAAACAACCCTTGCTGCCGTAAGCCCTCAGAAATAATAGCTGGCGTTGACAAGTTTACAACCCCCTGAAGGCAGAAAACCCTAATATTCCTCGCAATACACAAACCCCAAAGGGTTAGCTATAAAAAAAGGTAGTTCTATGCCCAATGTAACCATCCTAACAGCCGGATATAGTACAGAATCCAATCAAAGATTGATTGGTCTGCATTATTAGCTTTTAAGTGGATTTGGAGTATTCTAGCCCTCCATGCATCTTGTGCAAAGCTACAAAATCTGAACAGTTGTTGTAAATCCTCCTCTCGTGTCCTGCAAAGGTCACAGTGAACAACAACATCCAATCCTTGCCTCCCCAATTTAACTTTTGTTGCAATAATGTATTTAGTAAAAATTACTGTTAATTTGTAAAAATTGATAACTTTTAAGAATATTTACACAGTACACTATAACAATATAATGAAGAAAAATCATGTTTTTTAATAAAATTTCCCTCAAAAAATTGTTATCTAATAAATTTAGATTGTACATAGTTTCAATTGGCAAAACTAATTTTTAATAGGTATAATCGATGTTAGTGATCAAAAAATTAATTATGAGTAAGTTTAATATAAATCAGGTAAAAATATTATGATCCTTGTTAACCAAAATTTCATAGAAAGTATTTGTAAAACTTATAATTTTTAGTTGAGAAGAACTTCTACAAGAGGGGGGTGAATTGTAGTGAGTTCCCAGTGGCAGCTTTTCGCGGAAATATAAAATAGAATATTAAAGGAACTTGCAATGCACACAGGATTTTATGAGGAAACCTTCCAGGGCCCAACTGGAAGTAAAACCTCGACCCTCCAAGGAATTTCAAAACCAAACACTTCACTATAATAGGGCAACACTCCTAGTTACAACCTATTACAATCGCAGATCTTTCTCACAAGTTCCTGACTGAACTTGCTACTCGATAGGACCCTATCCAACCCAACCTAAGTCCCGGACTTAGATTCCACACAGCACTCCCAAAGTACGTACTAAACACTCGACTTCACTCTCAAAGCCTACCACATTGTATGCAAAAGCTAATCACTCACCCAATACCCAAAACAATACAAACTATTGACACTAATATGTGATTGGAAAGCTACACATGAAATCCAAAACTAATATGACAAAGCTATGAACTTGGCAAACTTACTCTTTAAGCAGTCTTCAGATTTTCACGCATAAACTCAAAAGTTGTAACAATTATGATCACTCCTTTATACGAGTATACAAGAAACACTTGTATGTAAAGTAGGGTTTTCTTAAAAGATAAAATAATGAAAACTGCCGTTTTATAAAACCCAATGTGAAATTAATCTTTTGGAAAACTCAATAAAGATAGAATTTAGAAAAAGACTATTATTTTGCAAACCAAATTTTATCTCATAAAATCTGTCAAAGATCTTTTCCATAAATTAAAAACTTATCTTTTTAAAACTTTCCATATTATTAAGCTTTGCCACGCTTCTAATAGATTTCATGCATAATTAACCAAACATATTTACAGCAATCCTAGTAAAAATAAACTTAATAAAAACCTTAATTAAAAGACTTTTAGTCTATTTGCCGAATTGCCTCATCAAGCTTCGCATTGTATGAATACTTGGGCTCTACGTAGACCAGGATCAAGTTCCTGCTGTCTTCAACACTCAAGCTCCTTGCTGGAACTCGCAGTCCAAGTTCTTGTGGAACTTGCTTCTTCAACACAGTCCAAGCTAGTCTTCTCAGATTGCTTTAAAGCTCCTGTTAGGAAGCTTCTCTTTGTGATCGTGTTAGGGATCACTTCTAGTTCCAATGATGAACTCTTCTTCTATCTCTTTGTCTTTCTTTTGTTTCTCCTTGGATCTTCATAGATAGGTTACTCTTCCACTTTCAAAGTCAATTTCACCTGTTTTAATTCAATACTTAGAGAAATCGCATTAGTTGAAGTTTGCATATCCATCATCATCAAAACTTCTTAAGATTCAATAATAATGTATATATATTGTTAGTTCTAATAAAATACAGGTATTCCCTCCTATCCTTCATGTTTGTCCCATTTAAAATATTTTTTTATAGAGAAATATCTTGATCCAAGAGTATTAATCAATTTATGTAAGAAAAATATACTCATGCAGGAACTTGCTTATTAAGTCTCAATTTTTAAAGGCGAAATTAAAAGAAACTGAAAGAAGTAAGTAACGATTTATAATTAACATAAATCATTCTACTTTAAGAAAACTTTAATTTTTGAACTGTAATGCACATATTATAAAAATCGATTCCTGACTGATCATACAATTTAAATCCATAATGTTGCCCTACCAAAATAATTCAATTTTGTCTCGCTGTAATATAATTGTTCTGGAAAAAAAATAATAATAACAACATTATAATTTATATGGTTATTATAATAGTATTGATTCAAATTTTAATTTATAATAAACTAATTGACAATAAACTCGAATAATGCTCAATACAACTAAATATCGATTTTGGTATACATGGCTAATAACTAGGAAACTAATGGCACCAGGCCACCGACTATTAACGTATCGGCCCATGTATAAGCTTGCAAATTGCAAAAGGAAAATAGAACGTGATGTGCTTGGAGACGAGGGGACGTATTGTTTAGAAAGTGTTTTTGCATGTTTTCTTTTTGTCCCAAAGCATGCAAAAGCAAAAGGAGCAATTTTACAAAGCATGAAATGGCTAGTAGTTGATATTGTTATATGCATCTCTTATTGAGTCTTGACCTGCCTTTCTTTACTCTTTAATTTGTAATCATTACGAAGTATTAATTATTTTCCATTGGATTTGGTCACTTTGAAAATTCATCGAGATTAGATATATATCAAGGAAGTACAGATATACCTGTCAACTATCATATTTGTATTTTATTAAAACTTTTAAAAGTATCCAACATAGAAAGCTTAATTTTCTATTTTTAGATTTGTGGCTATGAATCAAGTAATTCACTTTAAAAAAAAAATAAACATTCATAGCAAACATCAAAAAGTTATTATGTGTTAAAACTTTTAAAGGTTAAAGTTTATACTACTCAGTAAAGTTATCATCACGACATTCAATTTTTATATATTCTCCCAAACGTATTAAAAGTCAGGGAGATTTTGACCCAAGATTCAAATTACTATTATAAATAATGATATAATTTGATCAAAAAATGCCTAAACATTTATATGATCTATAATCAATTATCAGATTAATATATATGATCTTCAAAATTCACAATCTTAGTGTCCCTTCCTCTCTTACCCTTAAATTAATAGTTATACTTTCAATTTGAATTGGTTTCCACTTAATAATTTGTTCTTAGCATACCCTCTTATGTTTCAAATCTTTCAAGAGACTTATAGCTAGAGCTATTGAATCAGGCGTGTAAGTTAGATTCGATCCGGATCTTGTGTGTTCAAGTCGTATCAAATTTGGGTCATGTTAGGCTAGTGTGTATATGGATTAAATTTAGGTTTGAGTCTTTTAGGATTTGTTTGGGCCATATTTAAATCAGGTTGGTTTTTCACAACTCTATACGATGCAATAAAAATAGTTATACTCCATATCATTTGACATCAATTCTAAAAAGTTTTTGAAAATAAAGTGACTAGCTTACATATATAACGTATAAATATATAATATAACCATATGATTTTCATATGGTTTTAGGATGGAACTTCACTAATGTATTAGTTGTCTCTCCTCATGCTTGGCCCAACAAAGTCCAACAGTTTCAAGTTCCCACTCAAGTATATTATATCTATACATTAAAAAGCGTTCCTAAAGAAGTTTAGTTGCTACGTGGCACCTTTCTCAATCAATCGAGTCTTTCATTCACTAAGATTTGAACCCATGACCTTAAATTTTAAAAATATAGAGTTAGCCACTAAGCTATTACCATATTATTATTATATGTTATTTTATTAAAATTAAATATAAATAAGGATTTCAATCATGAAATTAATGTGATAACTTGGGGCATCGCCCGAATCTAAAAACTAATTACGGAGTTTTATACTATACAAAGCACTCATGTACGGAGTATATATATAAAAAAAAACTCCCAAAAAAAAAAAAAAAAAGGTGCTCTACCCGAACACCTAATGAAGGCATGCTTTTTTTTATTCACAATGAAGTACATCTTTCTTGCTAAAGCTGTTTTAAATCTATTCGTCGTATACTTGAATGGATATCTATAGGCATCTTTTTAACATCAAATGAGATTAATGTGTGATTGAAATCTAGAGTTCTACACATCTCAATAAATTTTATAGCTGCTCTTAAAACACTTAAATTACATAAATGTAAATTAACTTAGACCATAAAATCTTGTAAGTTGATATCTAGAATTTGGATTAAGCGGCTCCACTATTTATATCCTTTATAGCTCTGTATACAACAAGCAAAACGAAAAAAAAAAAAAAGCATTTGCATATACGAGTTATATACTTGAATTGGTTATTATTCCTCAACCAAATACATTAGGAATACATCTGCATTTGCATCTGCTTTTGTTCTTGAAGCAGAGACAACAACACTTCATTTAACTTCTCGAAGTTTACGTTGTAGCTTCCTTGAGCTCCTTCCGTCTGTTACATACAACAACATGCAAGTACTTAATTTAATGCTTACCTTATAAAATAAAAGTAAGCTAAGGTAAATAATAATGTGTCACGTGATAGTATGATACTTTACTTTACATGGGTTTGATAGGGTAAATAAACAAACAAGTAACTCAAATTACAATTTTAAAATTTCAAAATTATTGACGACTTTTAAAGTAGACCAACCATAGTTTGGACTAGTGATTATTTCAATTTTTCCTCGAAGTCCTAGACACTAATTCACAATGTACTATTATAAGAAAGAGCCTCTTTTATGTTCTATAGTAATGAAATCAATTAGAAAACTTACCCACAAATGGATATTGTAGAAAGTCCTTCCTCCAAAAGATTGAAAAGATGAAACATCAATGACAATACAACCATTCTTCTCAAGCACCAAAAGCACCTCACAAATTGATAATATTTCAAATGTCGATATTTGAATCACCATTTCTTTATCACCCAATTTATTTGAAGAAATTGAACACGACGTCGTTTCATTAACTATGCATTTTTTGGGGTTTTCTTCTTGAATAATCTTCCCAACATTTCCTTGTAATGCTGATTTTTTTGATAAAATTACTTCTTTCTTACGAGCTAGTTTCTCCACTTCCTTTTGTAGTTGAGGTATATATTCAAGCACCCGTCCAACTGTTGCTGGAATGCTTAGTTTTTTCTGCAACATAATTTAAGCATGTTAGAAAGCAATTAATGATTGCAATAATATGTAACATATTTAATTTGGACGTAAGAATAACGTAAGTTGGATAATGGCAAAATATAATTTTAATTTTTACATCAACTTGTAAAAAATCATGTCAATTAATTGACAAAACCTAGTAATGGTTTTTCCAAAATAATATTTACTATAGTCAAGGCAAAAATAATTGACACGAAAATATATCTCTATAGTTTATAGTTTATACCTAATAACTTTGTCTTAACAGCGGTAAATATTGTACTAGTTCGAATAAAAGAATTTCCTTATAAAAGAGCAATTTTATTATACTCCGTATGTTATAAATACGCTATAAACCTTTTTTCTTGTAAAAATTAGAGGAAATGATAGAAAAAATAATTGTTCTAAAAAACAGTGCTTACCCTATGATCAGTTGCAGGGAGCAAAGCACGTAGAGAGGAATACATGTCATTGATCTTCTTTCTTCGGTCTCTCTCACTTGCATTATGATTAAGCTTCTTCGATAACAAAGGATTATCATCAAATTGATCTGTTGAGCTTGTACCTTGTGGCGATTCGCTTTGCTTAGCATGATCACTAGACAATACTTGATGATTAACTCCACAATCTTGTGCTTGAGAAGATGAGTGATTAGCAAGAAACATAGAATCGATATCGATATCAAAATCGAAGTTATCAAATTCTTGGTTTGTGTCTAATTCTGAGGGATACTCCCATCCTAAAGTAGTAGGGCATAAAGGAGACATTGCCAACATTTTCTTGAAAGGTTTTTAAAACGCGTAAGTTTTTTCTTGGGTTTATTTGCTTTGATAAGATGCAATGTATGACAATGATATGGCAAGTTAGTTATTAGATCGATTATATATATAGTGATTTGATTTAATAATGTTTATGAATGTATTTGGATTATAACAAGTAATTAAAAATAAAGAGTGACGATTAAACCTGCTTGGCTCGTGAATTCTTACGCCGTTATTAAACTTAATTATCATTAACCTTATTTTAAACAAAGTATAACTTTACATATAAATTTTATAATCGATGTTTATATAATTATGCGTGTAATGAGCTTGTGCATTTCTTGTGAATGCTTGTGGAGTAATTATTTTTTATAGTGTTTAATCATTTTTATTGGTATCACATCTTAAGGATAACTGTATACTAGTATAATTTTATACTGTAAAATTCGTAAAAAAAATTAAATTAAAAATAAGCAATGAATAAAAAATAGACACTTGTCAAATTGGAATATTTAAGATAAGTATGTACAACATAACTATCCTATAGCATCTTATGTCTTTATCGAATAAATTTGATGCTAAATCAATTAATAAAGAAGACGTTGAAGGATGATGTTCGATCATTGACTTTAAGAGTGTCAACTCCCCCCTTACTAAAATGATTTAAGAGTTATTATAATCTATAAAATGTTGATAAGATTAAAGAATACATTTTTTTTTTTTTTGGAAAGTTAATTACTTTATAATATACTTGTATAAAATGTATTAATGGTTACACTACTTCATATTAATTGAGTTTAGGGTGATCAAACACGCTTGATTAGATAGATATTACTCTGAATAATGCACCTTTTTTAAACCAAGCGCATATGAATAAGATCTTGTTAGATGTACGTATGTTTTTTATTTAATCTCGCTTTGGAAATCACGAATAGTAGAAAGTAATAACGATTCTCATTGTCAGTATATACAAAATTGTACTCATGTTGAAACCTAATTTTTTCAACCACACACTGTTCAATCGACAATTGACCTGCTTATATGTAAAATGATGATGGTTGACTAATTTATCATATTAATTTGATAAAATTATCATAGAAAATTCAAAGGAGGGGAAATTTATAAATTTTAAATTGTAATTAGCCAAATTGTAACAAGAATTTAGAAATAGAAGATTCTGGATGACACCAAAGATCGCAACATTGCTGCATAGTGGGGTGCATGCAAGTAGTTAGGCCAGTTGAAAAAAAATATTAGAATAAATACAAATAGCACTTCATCCTCAAATATGGATCGGAGGAAGGGAAGTCTTCTAAATTAATGGCATATTAAGTGCTCGTGCCAAGCTTAAGCAAAGAGTCGGCTTTAAGCACCTTATCCTATTTGACCTAATGCAGGGCACGTGCCCCTCACAAATGTAGGGTCCTTCTCACCTTTCTGGCAGGCTGACATCAGTATTTCAGATAAAATTACAAGAATCAAACAGAGCTTAGCTTATTTGAACTTATTTGGATTAAAACATAATTTAAATTTTATTTGAGCTCCTTTTATACTTATATATTGTATTTATTTAAACTTATTTGAATTTATTTTGTATGAACTTATTTGAATTTATTTTGTCTGAAATCAATTACAATATTTTTTTTTTAAAGAAAAAATCAGCTACAATACTATCTGAAGATTTTGAGGGAAAAAAAAAAACTGTCTCAACTTATCTTAACTATTAAGATGACACAATTATGCCCTTGGTCTTTAATCTAAATTAGTTTTTAGTTATAACCTTCATTGTGAAAGAAAGGAAAGCCATAACATCCTTGTCGAAATCTTCACATTGATTAAAGCGTAGAATACAAACGACGTTAGGCTCTATATCATGAAAGTAAACCCATTTCACAAAATTCAATCCTCAAAATTTGAAGTAAATTTTTAAGGCATTTAAAAATCTGAGTATTACAGAGTTAGGAAAGAGTATTGAAAAGCTGAAATAGCGATTATTTTTTTTTACATAGTAATTGATTTTTGCTATTTATATCATGCACATAGTGTGCTGACGTTATACACTTATACTTCATGTGTGCGGGGATTATCATCATACACCTATGTCCAGCTTCTAACTGTTGCACTTGATTATGCGACATGATGCGAATGATCACGCTGTGGTGAGAAACAGGTTCTTTAGAGAGTGACAACAGGGGTTAGAAGGATATGTGCAATGCAGTAAACGGAATGATAATTACGCATGTAGTAACACACTACATTTCCACAAAACTGGAAAGGTTAATTTTCAATATGTAGAACAGTGATTCAATTGATTTTCAGAGGTTTACAATATCAACCTCACCCATCAATATGTTCCCAAAAATTATTATTTTTTGGTTAATGCTGTGAAGCACTCTACAAATTCAACAGGCAAAAGCAAAAAAAAACAACTTGACGGACTCCAGCAACCTCCCAAACATGCAAACTTCAACCTGCATACATGAAAAAACAGTTCTGGTAAGACAACATTCATATGAAAAGAAAACTGAGCAAAGGGCAACCCATGCTCACAAGAAATATCAATAAATGCACTTCTAAAGCAATCACCTAAAAACAGCAACCAAACGAAATCCAGAGGAAATATTACCTCCAAAAACCATAACAATCTTCCGATCATTTTCATTACAAAGCAGTATATCAGTATATGGTGTGCATGATAAAGCCCTACCAAATAATTGTTGACTGACCCACATGATAGTTGTAAGCAAAGCTTACTTACAAATCAAAATGGAAACCCAAAACAATAGCTCTTCCAAGCAACAAATATTCAGTCATGTGCCCAAGTCATCCACCAAGCTCACAAAAAGGGCTACCAAATATGGCACTAAGAGCAAAAGAACATTAACTAATTAAAGAAACAAAGCATTAGCTCTTCTATGCAACAAAAGTTCAGAGTTCACCCATGAGCTCAAGTTACACATCTACCCATAGAACAATCCACTTATGACTTCAACTCCGACATCAAAACAATCCTACATATGAAAGATAGATCTACTTATGACTTCAATTCCAAAGATAGATCTACTTATGACTTCAATTCCATAACTCTAAACTATACAGTAGGATATGGAATGCATCATGAATGAGCTGAGATAAGATGTTTCAGGATCTACGTCTTTCAGTTGGACTTGAGAACAATTGATTTTGGTTATCAATGAATGGTAGAATTCAAGTTTGCACTAAACTGATTCAATCACCTTACTCAATTTGGATATTTACTTAATATTCATCACATACCTCATCATTTTACTAAGTACGTCAGCTTTTATTAGCTTCATTTGTTTTCTTTCTAACAGACCTCTTAAAATAACCCTAACTTGCAACATAAAGTAAAAGCTTTCACCTACCACATTCAAAGAACACACCAGCCAACAATTCTTTTCATTCATCTCTCCAACCCCCTAAGAACATTTAAATAGGGTCGTCAGATTGTCTCTAATAAAATAAGTGAATCTATCAGAAACAAGGAAGAAGTTAAGTTGGGATAATAAATTGTAATTTGATAAAATAAAATCATCAAAAGAGGATCGCATTATAAGTCTTTTCAATAGCTGGACACTCCACATGCTAAGTAAAAAACATCAAATTAATAAAACTCACCCTGTCAAAAATAAAAAATTTAACTCACAACCAATTTTAGTTTACTTCATCACACCCTGATACTCTCTGATACATTCTCACCTCTTTTCTCTCTAACAAATTCTCTGCTCTAATTGACTAATCTGCAGAAACAAAAGTGTTTACCCCTAGGAACCACACAACCAGCGTATCTTCCTACACCCATTTTCCTCTCTTAAACTTGGGTTGAATGAAAACCCTCTTGTGGTAGTGGATACCTCTAGGGGTGTTCACAGTTCGGTTTGGAACACATTATCTGCAACCTCTAAAACTCATCTGGTAAGAGATACCACACTACCACAATAGCTACTGCAGGCGAAGGGCCACCAGATAAGATGCCATCAGCATCACCTCTCTCAAAAAATCCTCAACGTCTGCAAAACAACCAGACCCCAATCCACTGCACCACCATTGAGAACCCCTTGCCCTTCAACACTAGAATTTCAGTTTGGAACTCTAATCACCTTGACTGTCACTAGCATAACCACCAACATATTTGCCTGAAATGCTTGCTCGACCTCTTTAATCACTCTCTGTCTCCACCTCAGGAAGGGAAATCGCCACCACCTGGAGAGATCCTTCATCCAATAAAAAAATGTGGTAGTTGTTTTGAGTACAGAGAATGCTCCATTGAGTATTTTTCAAGAATTTTTTTACAGTTCTCAAAGCATGTCCTTATTATCTCCTCCATTTATTGTTCAAATGTTGGTAAGAATGGTAACGAAACAAGAACTCAAGAAAACTCCATTTCGTCAAATTCGCACCGTCAAATACAAATTTGTAATAGACAAAAATGTTAGAAATGTAAAAATAAGGAAGATGTGTAAAGTTAGGGGAAATTGATAGTAGATTGAAATTCGATGCAATTAAATCATCAAATGGGGTCCAGCACTTTTGAGTGGCTGGACAGTGGACACTCCCAATGCTAAGAAAAGTAAAGTAACCTCAAACAAGTAAAGCTTAATTCATCCTTTCGTCCTAATAGCCTCTGTAGTCTAATTATACACTCTGACTTCCTTTTTCTCTTCTCTTGCCCCCCTCCCCCCCCCCCCCCAAAAAAAAAAAAAAAAAAAAAAAAAAAAAAAAAAAAAAAAAAGGATATACTAATTGACTAAATTGCATAACCAAAAGTGTCCCTTCCCCCTATGCTAGTTTATTACATTTAACACATGCAGAATCCAGCGCAAAATAAGCTACAAGATACGAAGTTCAATAAAAGTCACGTTGTAAAACACAACAACCCAACCTCATATACTAACTTCCCCTACATTTCTATATAGAGTATACAAGAAGACACGCATGCACATACACCATGCCCACAACTAGAAGACAATTAGCTAGGTTGTTTCAGTACTTCTGTAAGCCTTGTACCTATTCGATTTAAGTCAAGAAAACAATGGTTCTTCATGGACACAATT